CAGAGCTTTTAGTCTACAATCACAACACACACAAACACATAAATTAAGGTCCTCAGATCTGGTGAAGGCAGAAAACACTTTTCATTTTTCATCTGAGATTTGGAGCCAAATTACAGGAGGGTAAAATGACTTCAGAAAGATGGCAGCATCATTATGTTATTTTCACACAGAGATTGGTAGCTCTATTAGTAATATCTGTTGGCTTTAGCAATCTTTGTTGCATTATACGCCAATGGTGACAGTTCAAAAACGGGAAAAAGCACTTTTTGTGTTTTTTCCCCAAAGTTTGCATGCCTGTAACTCAAGAAGCATTAAAGGTCCCATATTGTCAAAACTGAAATTTCCTGGCTTTTTTCACGATAACTGAGGTCTAGGGGCTATTTAACTACCATATAAGTTTCAAAACAGTCAGTCCACAGTAAAATGCACACAGCCTGCATAAAGTAGCTGTGATTTTTCACGAACTGTTGTGACTTCCGTAAAAAGTTGGCGTCAGAACTACACCATCACCGCCTTCAGTCTCCACTTGTTCTCAGCAGAGCTCCTGAGAGAGGAGCTGTACAAATATATTGAGATGGTTTTTGGTACTTATACCGCAAATATATATTCTTAAGGACATCAAAACCTAAAATAAAACTCCAGAAAGGTGTAAAATACGTGACCTTTAAAGATATATTAATATCCTTTTACATGTTGGTTCTTAAAACTTTTCTTTCGGTATCTTCATTTTTAAGGCACTATATAGTGAGTCAAATGTGAGTCACTTTGCATTTAAATACTCTATTTAAAGAGGAATGTCTGTAGAACAACAACGTTGTCTTGTTTGCCTCTATCAAAGCAACTGCATTGAACATACCTGTCTGAGTGCCAAAAATATTATTTTTCCCAAGTCTGCATGCCTATAGCTCTACAAGCACTGAAAGTCAACTAATTTTACTAATGGACCTACCATTTTCTCAAGTAATTTTGTAATTTGGCTCCAAATCTCTGGCGAAAACAGTCATTTTGACCCCGTTTTACAAAATAGTGGATTACTCAGTAAATGTTAATCCATGGCATTTAATATTTTGGCTTTCTTCTTCATTTATGTATTTCTTTCAACAGAAAGAAAATCAAAACTTTTAGACTGTTAAGTTGGCATGGAATGCCCAATCTAGATAAATTCATTACCTTAAACTTTATTATTAATTCACAGCAGCAAAAACTGCTGCAACAACTTCAGCCTTGCATTTCTCGCCAAACGCTCTCCAACAACAACAACAAAAAAATATGCATGGATGAACACTTCATCCTGAAATACTGTATCATCCATCTTTTGAAATACTATTTTTTAGCATGCAATGATCTGCGATGCACCAATTCTAATCATGCATCCTATTCACTAATGCAGCGTCTGAAGCGCTCGCTAATGACACTGGCATGAAAACAGCACGCACTGACAGCTGCTCTGAACACCAACCGTTCGGTGCAGCAAAACAAACAGCAGATCTGAGCCGTCAGGACATGCGGAGGTGCTGAACACATGAGTAAGGGGTCATGGGTCATCCGCTGAGTCTTTCACTGCACTGAAATAGTTTAGAAATCAAGATCTTTTGAAAGCCTCCAGTCCACACATGCAAAATTCCCTTTATGTCTTGTGCATCATCACAGCGCTGTGCAACATACTACACTGCAGATGCTTTTATCCAAAGCAACTTGCATTGCATTTAAGATATGCATTTGATCAGTTCATGCATTGGAAATCGGACCCAGGAACTTGCCGTGCTTTATTGCTTTAATACAGGAATACTAACAACACAAGATCTGTGTTATGATGCTTCTGTTGTCCTTACTTCATTACCAACAACAACAACGAAAAAAAATGTTTTCACTTATAATGCCAAACATAACTGAAGCAATGTCAAACTAAGGAGTTTTGTATTGATAACTGAAGTAAACACAGAGATTGCCCACATGACTGAGCAATCACAGACTTTAGGCTTTAATATTTTACTGGACAAAGCACGCTATCAGTCAGCAGTGATTTATTTCTGCTCCAAAGCAGCACAATTCTAAGAAATTAGTTTTTCTGCTTTTGTTCGCATTCACTGCAAATGTTTATATAAGAAATTCTGAATCATCTCTTTCCTTCACAAACGTCTTTATTCAGCAGCTCCTGATATTTACAAAGTTATTGTGAATGTTTTTGTGGTACTAATCGACTAGTTCAGGTGTCAACATTCACCTGACAAAGTGTGAGAAAAATTCAAGTTGGATGTTTTAGCTCAAATAATTTCAGATGTAAACCTGGTCCCGGAAATGAGTGGTTATAGTGTTCAAAAAAGGCCCACGGGGGATTAATTTTCACAATAATGTGGCACCAAATTAAATATTAATGAGCAACAGAATGCTGTGAATAATTTTAAAGGAATAATTCAGCCAAAAATTTAAATTTCCTCAATATTTCCTCACCCTCAGGCCATCCAAGATGTAGATGAGTTTGTTTCTTCATCGGATTTGGAGAAATGTAGCATTGCAGACCAGAACACTTTTTCACTGGAGGAAGCGTTATTATGGATTATGGACTCAATGTATTTTAGTTAAAAACGTCTTAATGCTGGATTTGTTTCAGCTTTTGTCTTCTCCAGATGTTAACTGATGGACTGGAGTGCTGTGGATTACTTGTGGATTATTGTGATGTTTTTATCAGCTGTTTGGACTCTCATTCTGACGGCACCCATTCACTGCAGAGCATCCATTGCTGAGACACTGATGCAGTGCTACATTTCTACAAAACTGTGGCCTGAGGATGAGTAAATGCTTCATTTTTAGTTTTATTCAGTCATTCACCAAAGCAGACATTCACCGAATGTAAACAAACTCTAAATATCTCTCCGTCATAAAGCCTTGGGGTTGAAAGGGTGAGACAAACAGGTAGCTCTAAACGACATCTGCTCTATTTATAAAATAACACGGTTCTGTTTTCAGCACGCCCTGAAGAGGCCAGTGTGTTAAGAAACAAGAATGTGAAGTCATAGAGATCCACTAAACTACTGCTTGACCATTACATCCAACATAATCGCTAAAAAAAAGCAACATGGCCAATCTCAGATATAATGCAAATTGATTGATAAAAAGCAGCTGCTCCAGTGCATGTTGTGCCTAATAATAACACACTTTAGCTATCGTACTGTTTCATTAACATCATGAGTCGGTCTCTGTGCTCTCGACATGCTCCAGCAGGTTATAGTGACCTAAAGTCTGCAGAGAGATCTGTTCATCTGCAGAAATGTGAGGCATGGGAGAGATCCGGTGTAGCAACGGCTAGAAAATCCAGTCTCACAACCAGTTCTCAGACTGTCTTTACATTCATCCGCACTATACAACCTGCAACAGCAGTCAGATTGACAACGACACGGCCCTATCTGTTCATATATCAGGTGTATGCATATATTAATATGCAAGAGAGGCACTGCATGACAGAAAGCTCACGGAAAAAACTTAAACACTCAAAACAAACACCACACTGAAACTCATAAAGAGAGAGTTTTACTCTACGGTAAATGAGGTAAATGACAGCATTGAAATCAACATGCTGCAAAAGTCAGTAAAAACCAAGGTTAATTTCAGACGTGAACTATATTCTGAGGTAAATAACAGCTGTGAGGTAAAATACAGGCAAATATGAGGCAAATGTGACTTAAATCACAGATGTCAGTTATTTTCTTAGCTAAATGTGAGGTAAAATAAAGGTAAATATGTGACTTAACCACAGATCTATATAATTTCTATTATAGATATGTGGATTTAACTCACATTTGCCTCATATTTACCTACATTTACATTAGACAAAACTGAGATATCTGATTTAACTCACATTTGCCTCATATGTACCTACCTTTGCATCAGAAATAAACTGAGATATGTGATTTTATTTAACTCACGTTTGCCTTATATCTCAGTTATTTTCTGAGGTAAATGTGAGGTAAAAAGGTAAAAAGGAGGTTAAATGTGAGTTAAATCACAGATGTCAGTTAGGTAAATTACAGCAGTGAGGTAAAATTGAGGTAAATATGAGACAAATGTGAGTGAAGTTACAGATGTCAGTTACTTTCTGAGGTAAATGTGAGGTAAATGTGACTTAAATCACAGATGTCAGTTATTTTCTAAGCTAAATGTGAGGTAAAATAAAGGTAAATATGTGATTTAATCACAGATCTATATCATTTCTATTATAAGGCTGTGGATTTAACTCACATTTGCCTTATATCTCAGTTATTTTCTGAGGTAAATGTGAGGTAAAAAGGAGGTTAAATGTGAGTGAAGTGATAGATGTCAGTTACTTTTTGAGGTAAATGTGAGGTAAAATAAAGGTAAATATGTGATTTAACCACATATCTATATAATTTCTATTATAAGGCTGTGGATTTAACTCACATTTGCCTTATATCTCAGTTATTTTCTGAGGTAAATGTGAGGTAAAAAAGGTAAAAAGGAGGTTAAATGTGAGTGAAGTTATAGATGTCAGTTACTTTTTGAGGTAAATGTGAGGTAAAATAAAGGTAAATATGTGATTTAACCACAGATCTATATAATTTCTATTATAAGGCTGTGGATTTAACTCACATTTGCCTTATATCTCAGTTATTTTCTGAGGTAAAAAGGTAAAAAGGAGGTTAAATGTGAGTGAAGTCATAGATGTCAGTTACTTTCTGAGGTAAATATGAGTTAAAAATGTGAGGTAAATATGTGACAAATGTGAGTGAAGTCACAGATGTCAGTTGTTTTCTGAGGTAAATGACAGAACTGAGGTCAAATTAAAGGTAAACGAGGCAAATGTGAGTCACAGATGTCAGCGAGGTAAATGACAGCAGTGGGTTAAATCTCAGACGGGCGTTAAATTCTGAGGTAAACTACAGCAATGAGGTAAAGTCGAGGTAAATCTCAGGTGAGCATGGTATTCTGGGGTAAATGTCAGCAGACAGGTAAAGATGAGGAGGTAAAGATGAGGTAAATCTCACCTTGGCTTTGCCGGCCTGTAGTTTCTTCTGTCGCTCCTCGTCTTCCATCCTCTCCGCGGTTCCTGCGGCTTAAACACCGACACACACGCGTCATAAAAGCGCCACACGCACGCACACACGCCTAGCGCCAAACGCGTTGCGCTGACACGTGCGTCCGCTTCGGCTCGGACGGTAAATCTGTGGGATTTCCTCAGTGTTTTATTCGGGCTTTGCTGTCACCCTCGCCGCCATGTTTCTCCACGTAAACACACGAGACCCGCGGCGCGGTGACGTCACGGCGCACGCGCCTGCCTTAAAGCCCGACGCTGCAAATATCGCTGTGCAAACAATCTCAGTTACTGTTATATGTGCAAATATAAATAATTGATTATTCAATTTATTAGTTACATCAACATTTTTGTATGCTCTCGTCGTCCTGTATTTATGAGCCATATTATATTAAATTCCATTTTGCATAAATCGGCCCGATATGTATTGTTGTGATTTCAGATTTTATGCTCAAAAGTGGTCCGGTTGCACATAACTTATGAAATATATAACTACAGACACAGCAAAAGGTCTGTTAGTCTTTTAAACAGAGTAATCAGCTCTTTATCTGTATCCTATCCCAGATGTAAACATATGTCTGCAAGATGTCTGTTAAAGATCGCTTCATCTGGAAAATAACAAACATCTGTTAGTTTTGAATGTTCTCTGAATGTTAGACAAACGTTCAAAGAAAAGGTACGTATAACAAGGTACGCAGAAATGTATAAATAATATTTTTGTGGTAATGTTTTGAGAACGTTAAACATTACTGGAAGACACTTTGTTCATAACATTTTTTATGAAAATGTTATTTCTATGAACAAGTTTTAAATGCTTTTAAAAACGTTTTTTTCTTGATTGCGTGAACATTCAGTGAACATTTTAATTGTCGTTTTGCGAACACAGAACGCATCTTTTAAATGTTAAACGTTAGAACAAAAAAAAAGTTCCATGAACGATGTATAAATAATGTTTTTATGCTAACACTTTGAGAACATTATTAAAGCAGCACTATGTAACGCTCTAGCGGTTAATAAACAGAACTGCACACATCGCGCGGAAGAACATTCCAACCGGAGCTACTTCTCTAAGTGTATGTCTCTGGCGATTCACGCAGGTATGTGTTACTCCGCAGCGGTGACCAGCCTACAATAGTCCGAATATAAGCACTTATTATAAGAGTACCGGAGTGATTCGGATATAAGACAAAAACGCGGTTTGGAAGATTAATTCGTGATGTAAATTTTGAACACAGAAAAAGTTACATAGTGCTGCTTTAAAGACAAGGCAGCTAACATAAATATGTTCCAAGTAGGGTTGCAAAGTGTTGGAAAATTTCCGGTAAATTTTCGGAAACTTTCCAAAACATCCTGGAAAGTTTCCAAAATTTACTGGAAATGTTCCACCTTTTTGCAACCCTAGCTCTAAGAATGTTTTGCTAACGTTCTCATAATGAAAATCTTCAAAATGTCCAGTTGTTTTTAATACTGTAAAAATGTTTTATGGTTGCCTGAATAGTAAGGGTGCATTACATTTTATCATTTAACAAACATTATGGGAACGTTACTTTTGAATGTTCCCTAAACATTCAGACAAACTAAAATATTTCAGAAAAAACGTTCCATGCATGATGTATAGCTAAATAACGTTTTTTAGCTAACATTTAAGAACATTATTAAAGATCATTTAAATTTGAATGAACATTCTATTAACGTTACTGGAAGAGCATTTGAGAGAACCTTGCCCAAGTGTTCTGAGAACGTTCTGACCTGCATCAGCCTCATCTGAAATGTGAATATTGGCCGTACCTGCAGCAGCAGCAGGAGATGGAGGTCTAGTCCTGCGGCCGACCGGAGCTGAACAGCTGATGGTTTGGCAGATCTTGAATTCCACCCATCTTCTCTTGGACATCCTTCACTCTCCGCTGCCAAAGTGAGCTTCAGGTCCCACCTGTGAACTCGTTCGGTTCTGATGCTCAGAGACCCAGGAGCCCTGAACGTTTGGCCCATGAATTATTCATGTGAGAGCAGCACAGGATCAGGTTCAGAAACTCAAACACCTGCTGAGAAGCCAAACTAACTCGCTGCAGCTCATGTAGTCGACAGAAGAGAATAGAGTAGAAGAGAATTCTGTTGAGATCTTATCATGACTGAAGAAATACACTCTCAGAAAAAAGGTACAAAAGCTGTCACTGGGGGGGGGGTACCTTTTCAAAGGCACACCTTTGTACCTGAAGTGTACATATTAGTACCTAAAGTGAATATATTAGTACCTAAGTGTACATATTAGTACCTAAAGTGTACATATTAGTACCTAAGTGTACATATTAGTACCTAAGTGTACATATTAGTACCTAAGTGTACATAATAGTACCTAAAGGTTACATATTAGTACCTAAAGTGTACATATTAGTTCCTAAAGTGTATATATTAGTACCTAAAGTGTACATATTAGTACCTAAGTGTACATATTAGTACCTAAAGTGTACATATTAGTTCCTAAGTGTACATATTAGTTCCTAAAGTGTACATATTAGCACCTAAGTGTACATATTAGTACCTAAAGTGTACATATTAGTACCTAAGTGTACATATTAGCACCTAAGTGTATATAATAGTTCCTAAAGTGTACATATTAGTACCTAAAGTGTACATATTAGCACCTAAGTGTACATATTAGTACCTAAG